GGTCTTTAAAAGGAAAACCAATGATATTTAATGTTATTATAAAGACAGGAGAAAAGGTTATTATGAAAAATCAAATTAAAATTTTAACATCTTTAAGTATTGGAGAAATGAAAAAAAGAATTGAGAAAGAATTTAAAATTGATCTAGATAAATCAACAATTGAAATTGACGGTGTTGATGATTTTGATGAAACTACAAGTATTAGTGATTTGTTACTACAAAATGAAAGTGAAATTGTCGTAAAAATGGCAAAAGAAGAAAGTGATGGTTCGTTATTTAGATCAAATGAATTACCATCTTCTCAGTATTACAAAAAAGAAGTTAGCATGGAAGATGTTAAAACGTTAGTAGAAATGACTGGAGTTTCAAAACAAATTGCATACTGTGCTTTAAAAAAATATTTATATTATTCCAATGCTGTTGACTTAGCATGTTCAGCATTGTTTGATGATATTGACTCTATTACAGCAGCATATACAAAAGACCTTGAAAATGGAGAAATTTATGATATTCCAGATGATGATGAAGTTCCAAAAGAAGAAGTAGATCTTTCATTTATTAAATTAGTCTCAGACTCAGATGAAATAATGACAATTGTTGAGTGTTTAAAAAAACACTTTGGAGAAGAAGTTGAAAAAATTATATGGAAAATTATGATGAGTTTACCATCATTTAGTGGAATAATGAAAAAAGTTAATTCATGTTTTGGAATGAATGAACTGTATGGACCAAAAGGAGTATTTAATCTATTAACAGAACAGAGTGACTATACATTATTATATACTTTACAATTAGTTGATAAAATATTGTTTCCAGAAAAAGATAATGAAAATTCTACTACAACAGATACAATAAAAAGTCAAACATTATTAAGGGAGATTATTGTTAAATCTCAACCAATTTTTGATCAAATTTGTTTGGCATTCAGAAGTGTATTAAGAAGAGAAAGTAATTTGATTGTTGATATTGTTGAAATGTTCAGTAAGATATTTTCATTCTTTATTCATAAGTTATGTAAACACCAACAATTAACATTTAATGTGACAGAAAATCATGAACTTTTTGATGAATGTTTTGATATAATTCTTAAGAACCCAAACAATCCTCATATTTCAGGTGTTTTTATTTCTATTTCTTCTTCTATTTGCGAACTAAGAAATAAAGGGTCTAGTATTAATGTTGTTCCTGATCTTCATGACTTTCTTATTCAATACTTCAATTCACAACAAAAGTATGATGATGAACAAGTCATTACCATATCATTTATAACTTCGTTAGTCAATTTTTATCAAAGTAATTCAACATTATTATATGATCAAACACAAAAGTTAATGAAAGATTTATTTAATGCATTAGAACTTTATGGAACAAAAAGGGCAATATATTTTTATACTAAAACTATTTGTTTATTGATTGAAAGTATTAACGAAAATATTATTGATTTTCAAGAAGTGTTTGATTATGTTATTCAAAAGATATGTACTGTTGAACCAAATGAACAATTTACTGATGACTCAGATTATTATATCACTGGGCTATTAAAAATTGCTAAATTATTATTACCAAAAGTTGAAATTATTCCAGAGAAGATAGGTTTAACTATTTCTAAAGTATTTAATAACTGCTATGGAAATCCATTAAAATATAAATTAAAATCAGTAAGAAATAGTTCATATGATTTAATTAATACTGTATTTACAATTTGTCCCAATCTTATTAAAATGTTTAGTACTGAAGTATTTGATAAGTGTTTCCAATACAAAGTTATTAAAAAATTAGATATAGTACCAAAGACGAGTAGAACTGGATATAGAGGAATAAGGAATATTGGATCAACATGTTATATAAATTCAATTCTTCAACAATTATTTATGATGAAAGAATTTAGAGAAAAAATTTTAAGAATAGTATCAACTGATACTATGAAAGTTACAAAACAATTGCAAAAATTATTTATTTCATTAAAAGGTGGAAGTCAAGATTGTTATAGTGCAGATTTATTAATCGATGAAATCCAAAAACATAAAAAAGTGTATGACCTTAAAGGTCAGCAACATGACGCTTGTGATTTCCTTATTATGTTACTTGATTGTTTAGAAGATGAAATGAATAAGGGAAGTCAACAACAAATATTTCCAATATTTACATTACAAACTGTTATACAAACTGATTCACTAGATAGTACTGTAAAAGAAAACCGTGAAACAAAAGAAGAGTTTAGAACTTTACCATTACCAATTCAAGGAAAAAGAAATGTCGGACAATGTTTAAGTAATTTCTTTAAACCAGAATTCTTTAAAGGAGATAATAGATTAAAAACTGATGATGGAAGGTATTTTAATGCAGTAAAACAATATAAAATTGAAAGTTTACCTCATTATCTATTTTTACAATTAAATAGATTTGATTCATTTGATATTAATGTTATGAAGATTAATGATAAATGTGAAGTACCATTAACTCTTGATTTAAGTAAATATATGAAAAATAAAAATTTAAATGGAGAATATCATTTAAATGGTGTTGTTATTCATACTGGAAATGCTGGGTATGGACATTATTTTTCATATATATTAAACGATGGAAAGTGGATAGAATTTAATGATAGTAGAGTTAGTTATATTTCATGTGATATGGCAACAAGGAATATGAATGGTGGATATAAGGATTTTGGAGGATATTTACTTGTGTATGAAAAAAAGGGCTATCAAGAAGAACAAAATCGAGAGCAAGTTGGAGAGGATATTCTAAAAGAATTAAAAGCTGAAGAAGAAAAGATTAGTAACGATGTAATGTATCATGACAACCAATGTTTAAAATTAATACTTAAACAATCTAAATTATTTGATCCAATAGTAATGGGAAAAGCTATTATGTATTGTTTTAGATATGCATTTTCTTTATTAGATGAAGGAGAACAAAATAATGGATTAGTTGATCAAATTATTGAAGATATGATGAACTATAATAATCCAGAGATTGGTAAAAAAATATTAGAAGATGTTATTAAAAATGATTTTGTTTCTTTATATTGTATTACTTCATTAGAAAGTATAAGAACAAGAGCATCAGGATTAATAACAACCGCAATTAGATGGGTAGCTGAAAATGATTCAGTAGCGTTATTCTCAGAAAGTGAGATATTATATAAATTCTATCAATATTTAAGATCGTTATTAATATTTTCAAGGTCATATCCAAAAAATTTGAAACAATACTTTATATTGTTTGATGCCTTAGCTTCAATTGGACCACAAGCATGTTATTCTTTAAGTAAAATGGGATTAATCAAATCATTTTGGTATTATTTCCTTAATAAAAATGAATTTACTGACAAAAATATCAGTACTATAGTGTTAGATGTATTTCCTGATTTAAAGTATTTTGTAACAACATTACAGAAAGTTATTTGTTCATGTTATACAGATGATCATAATAAACAAATAACTCCATTTTCAAATACACAAAATTCAGAATATTTAGATAATTCGTATTCAAAATATAAAAATTTAATATTTTCAAGTGATTTATTACTTCAATTAATTGCATATAATTATGACTCTGGGTGTATTTTACTAAAACATATTAGTTATAATAATTTTGATGAAAGTTTAAATATTATTAACCAATTTAAAGAATACGTTCATTTTCGTAAACATGAAAATGAATTGAGTAACTTTTTCAATGTGTTCGAGAAATTGTTAATGATGAATGATGACTATTCTGAACTAAGAGCTTTTTGTCTATTTTCTCCATATACAAACAAACAAAGAACTTCTTTATGTAAAAGTCTCCCACAAACAATGACAAATGGTTTATTGAAAAAGTTTAATGTCTATTCACCATCATCAAAATTAACATTATCATTTATAATTCGAATGTCAAAAAAATTACCATATGTAAAACAAATGTTATTGGAAAATGCGCGGGTATTAGAAAAAATGATCAATTATTTAAATCAAATTTTTAAATCTAATTATCATGTATATAAAGAAAACCTTTCGGAACAAGATTTCATAGGTTATGGAAAATATATCATTCAAACTATGACAGAAGAAACAAAAAAAGAAATTGAATTCCAAGAACTTACTTATTTACTTGAATTAGTGGATGAACGTTCATCTATGTCATTTGATATTAATGCATTAGAACAAGAAATTAAAGAAACTAAAGAAGAGTTAAAAACACTTAAAGAGTATCAACCTACTTCTTCTATACCAACTAAAATAGTTTCAGATGGTGGTTATTTTGAATCAGATTTTAATGATGATATTGGTTTGTCTACAACATACTCTCATTAAATATATTCAATTCCTTTTCTTTTTTTTTAGTACTTTATTTATATAACGTTTCATTCTTTTGTAATTTTTCAAAGTAAATTTAGAAAAGTCCAAGTTACCTCTAAACCATGTTGGTTCATCTGCTTCTAACCTTTCTTGAAAATTACTTGATTTGAAACACAAAAAAACTGTTATATCAATTGAAAAGATTCTTTAATACCTCTTTCTTTATTTCTGTAATCTATATATTTGTCCAAAGAAATCCTCTTATTCTTATACATGGAATTATGTCAATTATTCTTGAAGAAGATGGATTTGTCTTGTCTAATCAAAAAGTTATTTTCCCAAAGTATTGTTTAATAGAGTTGAACAAAGCGACATTATGATTATCATTATAATCATTTATTCCTTATATTAATGCATTCCCTTTTGAATATCTTGTTCTTAGATGGAACTATACTAATAAACAGCATATTGATTTAGATAGGACTAGAATTACTATTCCTCAATAGGGAATTACTTATTTGATTCTGTCTATTGTTCCAAGATGGATTTGTCTGATCAACTTATAATATTGGGAAATACAAACACGCTGACTTTCTTCAAGAAGAATAAGTATTTTAGTAAAAGAAAATATTTTATTTTAGAGAAATAACATAAATAGACAATTTAATTGAATTTATTTAAAAAGAATGAATTAACATGATTTTTTTTTCTACTTTAACATAATTCTAATAACTTCTCTGCCACAACCGATGACTTCCTCTTTGCGAGTTCAATTAATTGAGGATACTTTTGGGTTAAATTTGTTAATGAATTTAAGGCACCAACTTGACGATATTCTCCGAAAGAGCGTTCAACAAGAATGCGTAAAATTATTTCATTTAGACTCTGGTCATTTAGTTCAATTAAATGAGCAAGAAATTGTTTCATCATTTCTGTAGTAGTAGTTTGTAGTCTCATTAAATCCACAATACCATTAACCAATTCAATTCTTTGATTATTAGTAGAATCTGTTATCATTTCTTTAAGAACATTTAATGAATTTGAAGTGAATAAGAAGACAACTATTGAAACACTTGGTAATTTAGGGATTAATTTTAATATTAACTTTGGATTCTTTTGATCAAGAATTGATTGGTATTCTGTTGGAATAGTTTTCAAGATTGGTTCAAAATGTTCAGCATAATTATCATCATGAGACACAACAGTTAAAATTGGAAGTCTTAAAGAAAGTACAGTATAGGGAATAACTGATACAAATGGAAGAGCAAATAAATGAACAAATGTTGGAAAACATTCTCTGATAACTAAAATACATATAAAAGTAGCTGATATAAGTTGTTTATTAGTAGTACTTTTATTAAGTAATAACGGTTGAATAAATTGGAGATATTTCATAAATAAATCAAAGTATACAATTAATGATTGATTTTTCATTTCAGATGGTTTAGACAATTCATATAAAACATTTCTATGAGAAAACAATTCAATCCATTGACAAGTAAATTTAGGATATTGATTTGGGTGAAGAGTTTGAAGTACTTTTAAAATTTTTTGAATTAATAATACACTGTCAATACTATCTTTTGTTTTTTCAACTAAAACCTCAATTATCATTTCTAATAATACCAAATAAATATGTGAATGAAATTCTTGTTCTTTATAATTCTTTTCAAATGATTTTATTATTTCATTAAATATTTGAGTTAATATATTTGTATATATATTTTGTTCTGATTTATGTGAATTAATAATAAATCCAATAATTTGACTTGAACGATAACAATAATCTTTATTTTGTGTTTCAATACATTTTGTAATTAATTTATGAATACTTCTTTCAGTCATTTCTGGTGAAAGTAATTGAACAAATTTTTCAATAACGTCAAATGCTAATGTTTCTTTTAATAATTCTATTAATTTATCATCTAAATGATTTTTAATTTCTTTCTTTACTCCAATACCATACATTTCCATTTGATAATTTGTAACTCCTCCATTTGCAATTTGAAGTTCTTCTGGTAATTTGGGAGCATCATTAAGATATTCAAATCCTTTTGCAACAAAACTCTCTTTATTTTTCATTCCTTCTTGTCGTTCAGAAGTAATAGAAATAATAAATTGTTCTAATTGTCGTTTAGCATTTTTTCTTAATTCATCTAACTTAATCCTAACTGTCATTTCAATGATTGGTTGAAGATTAGTCATAACAATTTCTTTCATTTGTTCAATTGGTCTTATGATATTTTTTTGTTTCATTGAAAAAGACACAAATGGACATAAATATTTCCATAATTTTGACTCTAAACAACTTCTACAAGTATATTGAAGAAGTTTTTGTGCAATATCAAATACTCTATTAGAAGCTTCTGTAATTTTTTGTAAATTAGTTTCCATAGCAAAGTCTTTTTGAACCAACTGAGTGACAGTTGTAATTATGGTGTTTAAACTAACATTTGTTGTTTTTGAAATATCTTGTAATGAAAAATCAAGTGAATATGTAATAATCATTGTCCATTGTAGTGTAGGTAATGATGGACAAATAAGATAATCTGGAATTACTGGAAGTGGATGTTCTGATAATAAATTAATAAAACTTAATGATTTTTCACAAAGTAAAAGTTGTTTTAATTTCTTTTCAGGAATAGGTTGTCTTTTTTCAATGTATTCATTAAGAATACTCTCATCTCCATGATTCCTATCTTTAGCAAATTTAATTAATTTATTTAGTGCCTCTTCTTCTGCAATTCTTATTGGATGAACAGTTAAATATTGTTCAGGTGAAATATGAAGTTTATTTAATAATTTATTAGAAGATTCATGATGCAAACAAAGTTCTGGTGATAAACTTGTTTCACAAACAAATTGCAATAATGGTTGTATCCATGGATTATTTGGAGTAAATACTGTAGAATTTGAAGATGCCATTAAGAAATGAATAATAAATTCTAACATTACATCATAATTTTCTTTTGTTAATTGATCAGTTAATAATATTTTAGGTCTTAAATGAATTGACCTCAATGGCTTATTCATTCCAATGGTTAATAAACCTAATAATGATCCAAGAGATTCAAATAATGAAGCACTGTGTTTATCATATTCACGTAATTTTAAAAATATATTAATTGACTCAATAGTAAAAGAGAATAAATGTTCTGTTGTAGATTCCATTTCTTGTACAAATCGAATACATTCTGGTTGATTATTTTCATTTAATAAAGCAATAATAAATAAAGATATCTCAGTAAGTACTTTCTTATGATTTGCTTGTGGTTTTAATAAGTCAAATACTTTTTCTATTTCTTGTTTAAGTTGTTCTCCATTTAATCCTTCTATATTCTCAATTGAAGAAACAATATTTTTTATAATTGAAACATTCTTAGAATCAAGTAAACTTGGAAGTTTGATATTAATAAATAATTTTTGGAGTAAATTTATTATATTAGAAAATTTATTATTTGCACTATCATATATTGTTTTATATAACACTGCATCATGTGTTTCAATATTTTTATTATCTTTTAATAAAACACAATATGTTGGCCATTCACTTAGTCGTGAACTGAATTGTTTTAATGCATGAATTCCACAATAAAAGAAATTACTTTTTAGTGGTTCTCTTACAGCCCATAATATAACTCTTAATAAATGAATTAATGCACAATTTTTTAATATTCCTTTAAGAATAATTTCTCCATATAATTTACCAAATTGAATAGCAGTTTCTACTTTAGGAAAATCTTTTATTCTTTTAAACTCATCAAATAATGTTTTAATTAATAAAACAAATAAGTCATTGTCAATTTGTTCAACACTCATTTTTGCTTTTTGAATTTCTTCAACAAATTGTTCTACAGAAAATTTTCCAGCAAAATAGTCTCCAAACATTTCATTTGCTTTATTTGAAATATTTTGTTGTTGGTCTGTTTTATAACAACATTGTTTCTTTGTTTCAATAGACTCTTTATCATAACCACAAGATGTAGCTATTGCTAATAATTGTTCGATTACAGCATTGTCTATTTTATAAGGTGATACTGTTTTAACTAATAAATGTTTATCTTTAATGAATTGAATAATTTCTTTACCAAAAATATTTCCTCTTAATTTTCTTTGTTCAATCAACCATTTGTCTAAAATAAATCCATCTTTTTTAACTAATAAACATGCAATATCAAGTGCAAATGATGTTGGTTTCATTTGAGTAAGAACTTTACCAGATTTTTCAGTTTTAATAGAATTAATAATATCATCTATTAAAGACGGATTTTCAATATATAAATCTCTAAGTCCTTGAGCTAAAAGTAATTTATTATTTTTCCATAATTGTTGAATGATATTGTATTGTTGTATATTATTTCTTAATAATGCTAATACTGCAC